TTGTGTGGGAACGGGCTCAACTGCTGCTGGTGCTTTTGGCTCTTCTGTGGAAAGTGCAACGTCTGGAACTGGCTCGGCTGGTGCTGTTGGCTCTCGTGTAGAAAGTGCAACATCTGGATTGGGCTTGGCTGGTGCTGTTGCTGTAACATCTGGAGCAGGTTGCTGCTGTGGTGAAACTGGTTGCATTGTGGGTTCTTCTGCAACATCTGAAGCAACAGTTTGTTTTGTTTCAAGCTCTGCTGCCGCAGTGACTTCTGAAGTAGCAGGCTGCAGTTGGTCAGTTGTTGCTGGTGCTGGTGCTTCTGTTGTTGCTGGTGCTTCTGTGGGACAGGCAGGCTGCTCTGAAAAAGATGCTGGTGCTGCTGTTGGTGTTTTTGCCTGCTTCTGGGGTGAAGATGGCTTTGGCACACCATTTGGAGCAAGTTGCGCAGGCATGGCAACAGTATCGATTCTATTTTGATCTGTGATAGCTGGCAGTGTTTCATTGTTTGGCATTGGAGCTGCCTCTGGCAAAGGAGATGAAGCAGCAGTAGTCGAAACCGTAGGCATCTCACGCAACTCAGGGTAGACAAGTTTGAGCGAGGTCCTGATCTGAGACTGTTGCTGATAGTACAGCTGTGTTGCAATCTGATTTTGCTTGTCTTTCTCATCTTGTGTGGACTGTTCTTCACGTTCATTCAGTCCGCTGGTTTGCGGCTCTCTCTGCCATGCCATCAAAGCAGGAGCTGCAAACAATTCCTGGAATTTGTCTTTGCCCTCCCCTGTGAGAGGAGCGTATTGAACAGGAGACTCAGCCGGCTGTGACTTGTCGGTTCGCCTTTTCTTGGTGGCGCTGCCTTGTGGACCATCACGATCCACTGAAGCCTTTGGCTGTGGGGTTTGCTTTGCTTTCGGTTTCGGCTTTGGACATGTTTTTGGCTTCGCTTTTGCTGCTGCTCGCTTTCCCATGCTAGCTACGCAAACCCAAACAATGACTTGATGACTTTTGAGAGTAAAACTCTACAAAGTAAAGACAAAGTCTGATCCAAAGTAAAACAAAGACCGAAACATCTTGAGAACACAAATGTCACAACACAACTGTGCTGCAATGAAAATCTATTTTAACTCTCTTTTTACGTTTCATCTCTACTGGTACGTCTATGTCACTATTGTTCACACCTTCAGCCCGGCGTTCTATGGAACGTGCGCAAACCTCATCTTCTGACGAAACGACATCGGATGATGATAGACTATAACAATACCAAGAGTCAAACAACAGTTCTACTATCCCATGTGTTGGATTCTAAGATGAGGAAGAAAACTGTACAAAAGCTAGCGTCAGCTAGATAGATAATGGATCTGAGTCCTCCAATGGCATTGGGAAGATTTGATCACTGTTGGCATTGAGGATTGGTGGCACGTCCAGCTACTCCATGTAGCTGCCCCCGTGCCCAAAGCTATATACAAAGTTGAAAGGCGTCAAGGGTATCATTTTCCCTTTGTGACCTTTGCGATCAAATCAGTCAAATTCGCTTGCAAAAATCCAGGAAGTTCAATGCCATTCTTTGTGCAAAAGCTCAATGCTGATTGCCTATGCTGCAAACAAACACAAAAATTCAAATAACATAATGTTACATATACCCTAAACAAATAAAATACAAAACAACATATGAATTGGTGCGAAACCAAAATGCGCACGGTCCTTTGCTTCAATCATAAGCTTCTGAGCTGATTTGCTCGTTAGGATCTTGCACGCAGATGAGGAAGCGATTGTAAGACGGCACTGGTCCAAGCACTGTTTGCACTCATTATGCTGTGGTACAACGGCCTCTGGTTGTACACCGCACTGAAGAGACAGTTCCCGTGTCTGAATCAATGGCTTCTCCAATGTATCTGCAGCAAGAAACAAACGATCAACCCTGGTCTTGTCACAGGATTTCGCAAATGCTTCCATTGTCTCTGGTTGTAGGCTTGGTAGTTCTTTCTCCAATGCATAGAAGATATCAATAGCCTGCTTCACTTCATCAGACAACTTTGCCGAAATCGTAGACATTGTTGTAGCCCCTTGTTCAAACCAGGTGACCTTGATTCAGTTAGCTAGACTGTTGGACTCAGTTAGAAGAAATACCAATGGCGAATCCGATTGAATTAAACAAAGAAAGAAAACTTTGCAACAAACATCTTAGCCACACCGAGCCGTACAAATTGGTCATCCAGCACTGAACCATCCTGGAAAAGGATACCATGAAGGGCACTCAGGAACGTACGAAGCTGCGGTTCATGTCCATGGACATCCAAAGAAGAAATCTGCTTGTCCTTCAGCTCAAAGTCAGAAGCCTCTGCAATTTTGGCCCATGAAGCCAAGGCCTGCGTGTGATCGGCTTTGGTTCGGTTGAAATCAAATGAAGCAAAGTTCTTCGCACCCTGAACCCACTTGGTGAAATTGCGTGCATCATCTGCATCAGAAAGACCAGAAGCTAGCAAAGAAGCACCATCAGCTTCATTCAAAGCGTTTTGCACGGCACGTTCATCCCACGAATTGTTGGTCTTGTTGATGAAGGCGTTGACGCTCCTTGCCAGCAATGTTGCAAGCTGATGGAGGGCTGCTGAAATCCGGTTTCTGTAGTAACTTTCAGCCAAGGATTGAAGGGAGCAAGACAAAGGTACCATTTTGCTCTCGACCGATGGAATGATCTTGTACAATTTGGCGCATAGGTCCTTCCAAGATGATAGTTGCGAACAAGCATGTTGAGGAGATGCATCCTTCTTCTTGAAGCTTTCTGTCAGCTCGCAAAGATTGCTGGTTTGGTCCATGAACTCAAAAACCAAGCAAAGCCCAGTGTGAGAAGAACTGAGCTTTTGCAAAGCACTGATGCGAAAGCCTGGAATGCGAACAAGCACAGAAGATGCTACCAGAGCAGCATATGCACTCTCAAGCCATACAGCCAGCTCTTTCGTACTGAACTCTTGAAGTACAGTGTCAATGATAGATGACACACGACCAAAGAGCTTCTCACATCTTGCCTTGTCCACATCATTTGATTGCATCTGTGGCTTGATGTCCATCATGGAGTTGAATGTGTTTGCAAAGGACTTCAGGTTGTCATCGGTGTAGATGGACTTTGATGAACAGGCGCCCTCCAGCTCCACTATCTCAGACTCAATGGTACCAAACGTCTCCAAATACTTGTGAGTTGCTGCACGCTCCTGAGCAACCTTCATGGCCATCTCGAGAAACAACTGGCAGGGCCAAGGGAACCCTTGCTCTATGGAATTGTATAAAAGTCTTTGTTTGAACCTAACAAAAACAGAAACGAAACGGGTCTGCCAAGGAAGGCATGCCAAGGAATCAAATTCATTTGATTCAACCATTGCAAAGTCATGCCCAGCCTTGCCCTGTGCAAGTCCCTCAAAGCTAGGCAAGATCTTGAAAGCATCAGACGCCGATGAACCACGTATCTTCTCAACTGCCTGGGTAGTTTGAGACGGTGTTGCTGATTTGCACTTCACAACGTGCTTCAAGCACTCGAATTCACTGCACACTCCATCGATAATCAAATGGTCAGCCATGTAGACGACGAAGCCAACAAGGGGCGTGATAGCATCAGCTGCTTCTGGCTCGAATGACACCTGAACAGCATGTTTCTCAAAGACATTATTTTTATTTGATATATATAACTTAACTTAACATATTCAAAGTCAGTATTGAAACTAAAATTAAAACAAACGTATAGAATATGATAGTTGATTGTGTCAGCGCCTTCTCTGCAGTAATCCCTTTCAGAAGACGCTGAAGAACAATGGAGAGCTGCTGAACAAACCATGTCTCTGGTTCTGATGCATGGCACACAACCTTCTTGTATGTCTGGCTGAGCATCCCCTCCCAACGACACCAGCGTAGATCATCCATGATGACCTGTTTCAAAATCTTCATCATGAAGGCGTCGTCAAATGATCCACCAGCTGATTCCTGATTGTCCACAAAACACTAGACTTGTCATGTCAACAAAATCGTAAACATAGAGACACACAACAGAAACAAAACACATTTGTTCCAATCATTCCTAGGTGCAATTGTAATCATAAGATTCATTGCATCGTCGCCAGAAAACGTCTTTTGTTGAATAGTTTTCAAAAGCGATTGCGCATCAGACATGATCTTGTGCATCTCGTTGGCTTGCTCTACAGCCTCCTGAGGAGTTTTCTTCCGTCTGTTCAGATTTCGCTTCTGAGAACGGACATCATTCTGAAGCTTGGTCAAAGATCTGCCCTTGTCGCTGATGTAGTCCTTGATCTTGACTGCCTGCTCATCACTTGGATTCTCAAACTGCAAATTGAACTGAATCACAGGCTCAAGTTTTTCCACAATATTGCGATGCCACTCACGGTCAGCATCAGTCATAGGAGCGTGGTCCTGTTCTGCGTTCTCCATTGGGATATCTTCAGCATCCTTAGCAGCATCCTTCCTTTTTCTCTTGGGCTTTTCTTCTGGCACTGGTGTCTGGTTGGATGGGTTCATGTCAACCACACCGGCTGACTCACCCTTGCGCTTCTGCCCTTTGGTAGCTTTGGGCTTTGGCTCTGCTTTGGCTTTTGCAACCGCAGCTGGTGCTGAAGCCTGAAATGAGAAGCTTGCCCACCCACCTCCGACTGTCTCACTAGCAGCAGAAGTCCCATCAGCACCTGCCCTGGTAGTAGCAACTGCCACAATTGAAGGTGGTGCCACAGGTGAAGATGTCAATGGTGTTGGTTGATCACCGGGTAGCGCAAGAATTGGTATCTTTCGGTTACCCCCAAGCACATTGTGTTTCATTCGTTCAAAGATCACATCAGCATTCTCCAACTCAATGTCTGGATCGTTCGCTTGACTCTGCTTTGACACCGAAGATGATTTCTCATCAACAAATTGGTACACACCGTCTGTGCCACATTCCCACAAAGTCTTCCACTTCATGCCTGCGACACGTACCTTAGAAGATATTGGTCACCAAGTGATGTCCAGGCTATATAGTTTCCTGCAAATGAAACACATATAGTCATATAGAAGATATAGATATGTTGACACATGGGAAATAATGATAAATAGTTTCCTGCAATGCAATTACCTGCAGTGCAAGTGACACATGGCTTGGAGATTCCATCAATCTCTTCGTAGTGGATATCAGATTGCTCTGGCTGTGTATTGGTCTCGCGAATGTACACGGCAAGCTCTGCAAGAAATGACATAGCCTTGATGAGCCGTTGGGTCTCCTTCTTCTCCACAGTAACGATCCTTTGATTGAACAATAAGCAACACATACACCACACACACATTTATCACACACACAACTGGCAAAGCTAAGGTACACAGCTGGACCAAGTTGTTCTGCCGACCTGATACGCAACGAAGGATTGCCAATCTTGAGCTCGACCAGTTTATCCGCCTGACTCTGCCACCTTGGGACAAGTTTACTGTATGTATATGTATTGTATGATGTATGTTGCATAACGTTTTGTGTGTTAAGCGGCGCATGTTGCTTGGTAGGATCCTTAATCAAAATAGCCTTGCACTTCTTGAGAGATCCATAATGTTGTTGCCATCCTCCTTGTGCATGAACCTTGGCACTGATCCTTTAAATAGAACTAGTAGCAAGTAACAAAAGAACATGGCTTCTTATCAAACACAACGAGAAACTGTCAGGCAGATTCGACACGCAGGGCCAGAGGGATCCTCTCGTGTCCCAGCACCCCATGGTAGCAGTGGATACCACTTGAGTTTGTCAGCACCACACAGAACCCATGGACAAGTCAACGTAGACCGCCGCCCGCAGAATTGACAGCCTGATGAGAATGCCAATGACAGCCTGTGGAAACAGTTCACACAACACCACAGTTTAATCAGGCAACGTATCGCAATGTATGACCCCGGTAGCGGACACTCAGCAGCAGGAGGAGTGTCCATGCTGCTCCCAGAAGACGTTGCCATATTGCTGATTGCTGATTCAGTCTGAAGTCAGCTAGCTACAGGCGTTGAAAGAAACACACTTGAGCATTACACATGGCGTACGACCGTCACACCCTCGGCGTACCACCGTCACACCCTCGGCGTACCATCGGCACACCCTCGGCGTACCACTGTCTGCACCATTGGCGCACCATTGGAATAAGGTCAAAATCTACCTTATTCCAATGGAATAAGGTACTTTTAGAGCTTATTCCAATGGTACGCCAATGGTACAGACAGTGAGGCGACAGTGAGGCGACAGTCAGGCGACATGTGTAGAACAATGGTGCGACATGTCCAGAACAGTCTGGTGCGACAGAGAGCAACAATGACTCAGCAAATTCAACGCTGCATATAGCTAATTAATTGCAATGACTGCTTGCACAAAGGAACTGTTCACACTCAAGCCTTCCTTCCCAGAGCACATACTGTACTCATGCACATGCACCAGGGGCTGTGCTCAAGGCCTAATGGCAGTTGATACACACCAAGCACTCCCCAGAATTCCTCGCACATTGATGTCAACTAGCTGAGCATCGCCTGATCGATGAACATTGCGACAGATCCAAGTCAGGTGTAGCATGTCATTCTTTGGCGTGTTAGTGTTTGGTTGTCTTGAACCAAGTTACATTCAAAATGCTCTTGTGCTCATCCGCGGTCCTACCATCAAAACGTGATAAGCCAGCCACTAACCAATCCTTGACTCGCTGACGGCCATTGCTTGGTAATTTCTTTGCCTGCTTAAAAACCACACAATTCCTGTGGATGGAACATGAAATCTTGATTCGATGCTTCTCAGTGCCAACATCCCAATCCACAATGCGTCCTTCCATTGCACAGACTAACAAGCAAATTCCAAATACAATGGTTTGGAAACAAACACATCTTGTATGCTTGCAACGGATGAAGACACACAACACCAATACCAATTGCATGTCCTAGCAAACGATGTTTGCTGCCATCAGGTTTCAATTTCCAAACATATCCGCGTTGATCTTCATCCAGGATAATGGTTCCCAAATCAGTGTCCTCCAGAATAATGCTTCCAGTCAGAGCTGGTGAATGTAAATGACAGTGGTAGCAGGGAAAAAACATATTGTCACTAATCAGTAGAACCCCACCTGTACTACCAGCAGCATATAAGCAACGGCAACAAGAGCAGCACCACCACCAACAACAACAACTGATAACTGATATTGATATTAGTAAGGCTAACATGGTCATCAGTGCATGTGGTGTTGCAACCTTTTACTGTTTTCAGACACTGTTTACCAATCAGTTTTACATCATCAAATTTATTTGTTTTTTTGTATGTTCTTTGTGTTCGGTGCTAACAAATTTCAGTGTAGCAAGTTGTCTAAATATAGGGTAAAACCAATGTCTAGTTGGTGTGCAGCTGGTGTGCAGCTATTGTTACAGCAAAGCTTTCTCCAGCATCACTGACAAATAC